TGCACTGCTTGGGAGCGTGATGGCGCTCCCGCCGAGGGTTCAGATCCCACGTACAGACCGGCCGCTCACTGGCTGAGTGAGGTGCGGGCGCGACACCGAGGGTTGCGATCCCGTTGCCAGTCCCGGTCCGGTACCAGCGCGACACTGAGGGTTGCGATCCATTGCCGGTCACAAAAAAAGACAAAAAGGAAAAAAAACAGTGGCTCCTAATTTCACTGACTGAAAGCTAAAGCCATCAAATTGGCTTCCAAAGTCCTAAAGAGCCAACCAACACCACCACCACCAGGACCTCTCACGTTTTCTCTTACCTTATTTCCCATTACACTCCCCTCATTTCTTACACCACAGCTACAATGTCTGCCTTGCTTTTGCATGAAACTTCTTGGCTTTGGGCTTAGGACTCTCAGAACACAGCTTACTCTCAAATAAAATAAAGAAATTCACATTAAAAAATATCACCAAATGAGAGAACAGAACTATGGTTACTAGAGGTGGTAACGGGGAAGAGGGAAGGAGGGCTAGGGAGAATTTGGGTAATGAACATAGAGAATAATTATGTTTTTTAATGATGAATATGCTAATAATCCTCATTTGATCGTCGCATATTGTACATAATAACTGATAGTCAACTCTGTACCCCACAAATATGTATAACCAATTATGTTTCAATTAAAAAAAAATAAAAAAAAGAATCACCAAATGGCCAATGATTTAGCCAAACAATCATGCCTACCTAATGGAATCTTCATTAAAAAAACAACAAACCTACAGGGTTTGGAGAGCTTCTAAGTTGCTGAATATATCCACTTGCTGGGAGGGTGGTTCATTCTGACTCCACAGGATAGAACCTCCTGAATATGAGACTCTTCCAGACCTCACCCTACGCACCTCTTCCACTTGGCTGTTCCTGAGTTGTATGCTTTATAACAAACCAGTAATTGTAAGTAAAGCACTTTTCTGAGTTTTGTGAGTAGTTCTAGAGAATTATCAAACCTAAGGAGGGGGGTCTGGAAATTTCTGAATCTGTCAGCCAGGCAGAAGTGCCTGGGTACTATATTTGCAGCTTGTGTCTAAAATGGGAGGGTCTCATGGGACTCAGCCCTTAACTTGTGGGGTCTGCACTAACTTTGGGAGTATCAGAACTGGATGGAATTATTGGACACCCAGTCAGTGTCAGAGAATTACAGAACTGCCTGGTGTGGGAAACATATTTGGTGTCAGAAAAAAACACACAGTGAGTCATAGCCAAGGTCTCAGGGCTCAGCAAGCGGCCCCTCTGGGTGACTCCAGGCTGTTCTCAACCTACCACAGCACCCAGCCTGGGTTATTAGAAAGGGAGAGGTCTGAGAAAGGATCCAGGGCCACAGAGGCCACTGAAAGAAGCAGCCAAGGAACAAGAGAGCTAGGAGAATGTGGTTATCACAGGAGCCAAAAGCAGTACGTATAGCAGGAAGGACAGAGCGTTCCATAGCAGATACCACCAAGACTTGGAGTGGGGTGAGGACCAAAATAAGTAGAGGATCCAGGAACATGAAGGCCCCCATGATTCTGACCAGAGGACTTTCAATGATGTAGTGGAGACAAAGGCCAGACTGGAATGGGCTGAAGATGAGTTGGGCAAGAACACCACAAAGTCAGGGTAGTGGGTTAGGGGAAGGAGCGGTAGTTATGTTTGTGAAGAACATATGGGAGGCTTTTGAGATGTCGACAATACCCTATTTCTTGACCCAGATTGTGGCTACACAATCTTTACAGTTCCTCATTAAACTATATATTTACTTTCACAAATTTTTCTGAATTTGACAATAAAAGACTAGTAAAGAGAGATGAGGAGGTAGTGAAGTAAAGAAGCAGGTGCAGACCTCCTCTTTAGGGAAGCTTGGCTGAGCAGGCCTTGGGCTCTGGTGCCAGCTGAGGAGAGTGGGAGCAACTGGCAGGCTTTGGGGGGCTGGTAGGGATCAGACACACCCTTCCAATAGCTCAGTTCTAGCATCTGGGTAAGGAAGAGGAGGGAAGAAGAGAGGGATGAGTTTGGGAGGAGGCTTGTGACACCAATCAAGGTAAACAGGGGTGGAATATACAGGTGTGTGAGCTCCTAATAAACAGAGAAAAACAAATATTGTAGAACAAGTCCCATAGATTCATCCAAAAACAAAAACCTGGCATTAACCAAAGTAAAGGGTTCGGATCCCCATGCTGGCCAACCACAAAAAGAAAACAAAACAAAAACCTGACATTAATAGACTCTTTCAGATTGTATCAAATTATGGTTGTTGAAAATATATACTTTGCATCATCCTCATTTACCGTTTCTCATCCATATTTATGTCAACCTGGGCTCTTGGAATGACTCATTTTTCTAAATCTATACCAATCACACCCTATTTCACTCATCAGGCTGGCTCTGTTGGGGACAAAAATACTCCCACCACCTTGACAGAGAAACACAACACAGCCAAGGCCAATGCTTCTGTCATGAGTTGATGAGCTATGATCAGCCCTGAGGAACAGACTTTTTTCCCCTCTCAGAGACCAGATGACATGAGCTGCCATCAATAGGTACCATCTCCTCAAGCCCATGTAATGCACACACCCTTTTGTTGCATAAGCGTACACCTTCATCTGCTCCAAAAGGGTGGAAATTCTGGAAAGGATTGCAAACAACAGGAAGGTGTTCTCAACTGACCATAACACTACCCAAACATGGGTCCTAGCCAACATCGCCCAGAAGAAAAGGATGGATATTAACTTTCTAGTGAAAAAAGATTCACTGCAATACAATCAATTATGTGGTAGTAAACACTTTCATGATTAAACAGAAAAATCAGAATTTCAGAAAGCTCACTAAACAGGTATTTCTCAGGATAAAGACCAGTATGAATTGGTGAAAAATCTAGGGCTGGTCAGTTAGCTCACTTGGTTAGAGAGTGGTGCTGATGACACCTAGGTCAAGGGCTCAGATCCCTGTAGAGGCCAGCCTCCAAAAAACAAACAAACAAAAAGATGAAGCATGAAGTCTTTTAACGGCTTAAAGCTATCAAATAATTTGATAAAACAGAATTAAGAGAGTAAAGTCAAACCTGGTGCAAGTCTACAGGAAGATGGTGTGGTTAATAAATAACAACAGCCTATCAGAATAACCTCTTACCAGCACTGAGACTGATATTCTTATACTAGCAGTAGCACCCACTGGTTTGAGGGTTTACGAGATGCCTTTTATACCCATTATCTCATTTTATACTTAAAACAACCTGCGAGAAATATTATCGCCACTTTACCAGTGGTGAGATTTCACTAACATAGGGCTGTAAGTAACTTGCCCGGGGTTAATAGACAGCCCTTAAGAGCCACCTCAGACTTGAACTCAGCTAGGTCTGTATGACTCAAAACCTATGGGCTTAACATTCCCACAGCTGCTTCTTTGTCACATAGGTCCTCCTTCAGGATTCCATTCAATCCCCAGCCCAGCCCCTCCCTCAACAAGTTAAGAGGACCTTCCTTAGAAATACCAGGCAACTGGTACACCACAGAGCACGACAATGACCTTAACCTTGCCCCTGCCCTCATGGTGTCTGCATTTTAGTTGGGGGAGGCTTGTAAGGTTCTCTTAAACTTTCTGTCTACTACACTATCATTTTAGCACATAACTCTATAAGCCTTTGTTATAGATAACACAAACTTTATCTTAAAAATAGTTGAGACATAACACCAGGTCAAGGGTTTAGCTCTCCCTACTGGCCAGGCCAGCTGTCAAAAAAGAAAAAAAAAAAAGTTGAGACATTATCGGCTAGCCGCCAAAACAAACAAAAAAATAGTTGAGACATTAAAACCTGTCAGAAAAACTTAGATAAAATGCTTCCAGGTATTTTGAGGGTTTAGAGCTTAAATTTAAAGTATTATCCCATTTTTCTCAGCTTACAATGCTAGGACAAAACCAGCTGAGTTTTCAACTGACAGCTTTTCTAGATCAGCAGCTATCCTTTTATTTTACCTCCTAAAAGTTTGTGCCCATTAGGACAACACACAGAGAATTCTGTCAGAAAGACCTTTGTCTCTTCGTGCCCCATGGTACATCCTGAGAGTGGCTCTGCCAGGTCAGGTGACAGCTCGGGCTTCCCCCATGGGGGCCACACTTTCTCAAGGTGCCTGTGTACACCCAGTGCCAGCCAAAGAGAGACAGAGCACGGGGAGGTGATCTGCAGCACTCTCCTCTCACCTCCCTCTCAGCAGCTGTGGCACTGGCAAGATTAGCTACCCACAAGCACAAAAGGGTAAGGCACTTTTGTGTGTCTCCCTGACTGATTCCCTTTGAGGTCTTGCCCATATTTATTCGCAATGAAATATCAAGAAACATTAAAATTCCTTTCTCCTTCAGCATGGTAAGGACCAGTGACAAAGTCCAGGAAAGGGGGTCTGGGACTGACCCGCCCCGAGTTTCCTATGCCAATTGACAAGGGTGTCCAAACAAGGCTAAGAATCCAAACCATGGCAAGAAGAGGACGTGTTTCCACTTAAGACTTCCTCATCAAACCACCAAACTCTCCAATCCTCCCAGTTGCTTTGATTTTAATATTACTAGGCTTTGAAAGTTATTGGCATTTTCACTCATATTTTCAATTCTTCCAGAATCAATATTTTTGTAAATGGCTCTTGTTACCAGTCTGAAAATTATGCAAAGATACTCATGTTAATCTCTTTCCCACATTCTGCAAATATCAACATTACCAGTCTTCTCAGATGATCATGATATTAAAATGACTTCTTTAAAAAGGCCAAAATAATTTTGTTATACTGTTTTTTACCATTACCTAAGATTCAATTTATTTTGTAGTTTTATTCAACCCAGTAAAGAAATTTAAAATTTCACAGTTGAGTTATAATAGAACATTTAAGTATCACAATGAACTAGAACCAAACACAACGTGGAGAGATTCCAACTTTTCCCAGGGGCCAGGCAACATTTGATCCTTTCATGGTAGAGAGTGGTGAGTTGTACTCACTGTCAGGTTCCAGTTGATCTGGGGGATCCTCATATGAAGGTTGAGACTGAACATAATCAGCAAGACTCCAGTCACCACAAAGGCGCTACAGCTTACGAACTCAAAGAAGTAGAGGCCTTCACATGGGGAGCACTCCATGATGGTCTCTATGCAGATGAACGCAATCAAGGCCAAAATCTAGGAAGAAAATTGGAAACATACCTGTATGTGTATATTTAGCACACATCTGTGGACATATGTGCCTGCTGTGTTTAAATAAGACTGAACAACCACCACAGACAGCCACAGAGTTTTCCTCTGGGGATAGTGGTATAACTAAGAAATATGACCTGCTTCAATTCTTACCTAAGAACAGGTATAGGGGTGGGTCTTAATGAAGGGATCGAATTCCTCATGTAAATAGCTAAGACCCCACCACAGTATACTGACATCAATCTGGTGTGCTGGGGCCCCTGGGTGTAAACCACTGGCCCTTGTGAGGAAGCAGAAAGGAGCATCTCTGCAATGCTTTTAGTTCTTCCTCAGTCATCAGTAACTGGACACTGCCTATGTGTGTTTCTGATTTATAGTCTCCACCACAATTATGCCAAACACCGAGAGTGCAGAATCCTAATGGTGTCCATTTTACGCCATCTGCAACTACCTTGGTGGTGCATGCTGAGGTTACACAGGTTAACTGAGACCCCTGGTAGCTTTAAGAGAAAGATTGGTATAATCCCTCTTCCCCTAATTTGAAGTCTACAAAAACAAGAGCCCTACCTAGTTAATTTACATGCTGTTTAAAAGTATATCACTGGACTTGATCACAAGACAGATTGGCAGCTTATAAAAAACATTTAAAAATCTACCGAAAGAGCACTGGTGCTGGTAACACCAAGGTCAATGGTTTAGATCCCCGAACCAGCCAGCCACCAAAAAAAAAAAAAAAAAAAAAAAATCTACCAACAATAGAATCAATTTCTTTCTGAAGGACCAAAGTAACATTCTAGCAATATGTCCCAAAGATTTGGAGATCACAAAGTCCAACAAGAATTAATGAAATTACCAAGTGAACTTTTATAGGTAGGTTTCAGGAGGAGGAGGAGGCCCAAAGAATGAGTTAATGGCCCTATGATCAAGGAAAGGTCAGGTGGTCTTGAGCACCTAAAGCCAGGTCAGTCTTGCGCTCCAGGCCTCCACTTTGCTCTGCTTACTGAGCGCTCATCAGGTGTTTCGTAGACCATCACAGGTCAAGCCTGTGTTGCCACTTCCAGGCTGGCCCCCACCTCACAGGTGCTCTAGAGTCAGAGACATCAGCATCCTCAGGGAGCTTGTGAGACATGCAGAATCTCTATATCCTCTCCTTGACCTATAGAATCAGAATCTTCTTTTTGACAAGATCCCCAGATGATTAAAGTGTGAGAAGCACGCAAGGCACAGGTTGTTCTGGGGCCCTTCTCAGTTTACTAAAGTCCCACACATGCCTTTCAAAGCGCCATTCAATGCCATAGTCACCATCTCCTCCCCATGCCTTCCTTGACTCTGTTTCTCCCTGCCAGATGTTATTTTATCCCACCCTGTCACAGGAATGCTTGGTTCATCTGTGAATGCAATCTATACTTATCGTTATGCATTTCTCTGCCTCCCAAGCTTTTTGGGGATAGAGCCAGTCCATTTCCCTCTACTGCCAAGACACCAAGCACAGTACCTTGCACACAGCTGGCTATGGGGGCTCAGTGAGCCACTAAAAAACCCACACCTACAATTCCCAACGTACTTGTCAGTGTCTTCACATGAAAGGGAGGGTGATGCTGCTTTTCCCACTGTCAGTACTTCTATGCAGTACATTTTCCTAAAATACGAGGTCTTTTCACATTTCTATTGTAAGTCACCACATTAACAATATGGGTCTTGTTGATCAAAGGATACAAAATTTCAGTTAGGAAGAATAAGCTCAAGAGATCTACTGTATAACATGGTGACTATAGCTAATAACAATTTACTGTATTTTAAAAATTACTGACTAGATTTTGTGTTCTCACCACAAAAAAATGATAGGTATGAGAGGTAATACATATGTTAATTAGCTCAATTGAGCCACTCCATGATGTATACATATTTCAAAACATCATTTTGTATACAATTTTTATTTGACAATAAAAGAAAAGACAAGGATCTTTTTAAAAAATTTTTATTGACTCAAAATTGATATTTTGGGGGTTCAACATTGAGATAATGTTGATCAAATCAACTATTACTAGCATATATATATAGTTACAAATTGTAATTATTCTTTATGCCCCTTGTCCAATCTCTCCCCATCCCCCCTTTTCCCTCCCCCCTCTAATTACCCTAGATTTCTTCTCTCCTTCTGAAAGAATAATGGTTACTCTGTTGATTTCTTGCCTAGATGATCTGTCCAATGCTTAGAGGTGTGATCAGGTCCCCCAATATTATCATAGAGCAGATGCCTCTTCTGTCACTCTGGAATGGGCTTTGTGGAGAGAGACATCCTCTTTTCTTTATCTCTGACTCTCCTTGTGTCAATGCACTCCAGTGAAGATAAGGATCTTTAAACACACACTTTGTGCTTTTCCTAATGACTCTCCTTATAATTCTCTACAGAACACAGACTTTAATTCTCCATCTGAATTACATGCCTAACTTGCAATCAATTCACAAAAGAAATAGTTCGTATAAGCAAAACTGCTAAACTTTCCTTTTTTTTTTTTTTTTCCCACCCCTGTAATCGGATCTAGTAATCTTGGGCAAGAAATAACACACTGCACTGATGAGTTACAAATGTTTCTGGTATGCTAACTTCAACCATATTGTGTAACACGTACATTCTTAAATATTAAAATAAAAATGGCTTCAAGAATAAGCAAATCTAATAGGCCATTCTTTACAGCAGTGAACTAGCTCACAGTCTAAGAAGGAGATGTTTTAACAAATTAAATAAAAAATAGAGTGAGACAGGAGCAAGAACAAAGGAGAAAAATTAGAGCAGGGATGGAGAATGAAGCATAACTGGGGCTTTTAGAAAGTGGCCTTGGAAGACCTTACTGGGAAGGTGTTATTTGAGAAAGTGCTGCAAGAAGTAGAGGATGGCTCTCTAGAGGAAGAGCACTGGTAGCAGAGGGATGAGTAGTGCTCATGAGGCAGGAGCAGCAGGGAGCCTCTGGGGCTGGGGCAGGGTGAGCACTGGGGAGACTCACAGGAAGGGAGGCCAGATCCACAGAGTCTGGAGGTGCAGTGAGATCTGTAGCTCTCATTCTGAGTGTGCTGTAAACACTAGAGGGTGGCACAATCTGATTTTAAATGGCCACCAGCTACTGTATGGAGGACAGGCTACAGTGTGGACAAGGGTAGAAGCCGGGAAAGGAGTTAGAAGGCCTCTGCAATATCTTGGTGAGGGATGATGGTGGCATGAGTCAGGGTGGTGGCAGCACATATGATGAGAAGTGTTGAATTATGGGCATATTTTGAAGGCACAGCCCACAGGATTTGCTGGCAGATGACTGAATGTGAAAGGAAGAGGGGAGGGGAGGCAAGTAGGACACTTTGGCCTGAGCATCTGGAATAATGCCATCACAGTAACTGAAATGGGGAAGCCTGAGGGAGAAGCAGGTTTGGGGTGGAGGTGTCAGGAGCTCAGTTTTGGACATGCTAAGGTTGAAATGCCTATCGGGCTTCACGTTGAGTTGGTTGTTGGATATATGGGTCTTGAGTTCTGAAAGAGGTCTGGAATGGAGATGTAATTGGGAGTCACTGGACAGGATGACATGACTGCCTAGGGTGTGAGTATAGAGAGAACAGAGGAGGATGAGGGGCTAAGCCTGGGGCACTCCAACATGCTGGTGATAAAAAGAGCCAGACAATCTAAATTTAAATTTCGGTTTCACAGTTATTAACTGGGTATGGTAGCCAGCTTCCAAGATAGTTCCCAACATCCATGTCTCCCTGGTATTCACATCCTTGTGATGTACAATGAATAGGGCTGACGTGTTTGTTATCTTGCAGAAATGACTTCATAGGTGTGTGACTTCGCAGGCTAGGTCAGAAAAGTCACTGTGGTTTTTGACTTGAGCACTTATTCTCTCACTCTTAGATCACTCACTCTCGGGGAAATCAGCTGCTGCCATGACATGAGGCTACTCAAGCAGCCCTATAGAGAGGTCCAAATACCAAAGAAATAAAGCCCCCTGCAAATAACCATGTGAATGAGACATCTTGGAACAGGATCCTCCAGCCTCAGGCAAGTCTTCAGATAACACAGCCTCAGCTGACAACTTTTCTGCAACCCCATGAGAGAACCACAATAAAGCTGCTCTGGAATTTCTGACCCACAGAAACTGAAAGATAGTGACAGCCTGTTGTTGTAAGCCTCTAAGTTTTGGAGTAATCAGTTATGCAATAATAGGTAATACATTAGGGGGGGACCTTTAATCATTATAAAACATTAATATTATAATCAATTATATTAATAAGTGCCTACTACTCACTGATTACCTACAAATCAAGCCCTATATAGAAATTTCTCATTCTTTATCATTTAGTCTCCCAACACAACCCTATGAGGTAGATATGAGCCCCATCTTACAGATTAGGAAATAGAGGTCCTATGAAGCATACAGATAACAAGAGGCAGTGCCAGGATTTAACAGCCAAGATGCGATCTTTGGTCTTTCTAGTTCTGACTGCCTCATTATACTATCTCCCTATCAGTTCCTCATCCATAAAATAATGAAACTATATGTAAAAGGGCTCTATAAATGACAAAATGCTGTCTACAAAATAAGAAAGTGAAAAACACAATGTTATAATCTATATATATATAGTTTTTAAACCATGAAACATGTATTACACATCTTGTTTTCTAGCCTACTTTTTCTACTAAATAGCATAAGCGTACTTCAAAAAGTTCATGGAAAGATTTTTATTATTGTTATTCTATTTTTCCACAAATTTTTTGTAGTGCTCTCATATATCCACAGGCATTTCCACATAAATAGAAACATACATATTATTTTTAACAACTACATAGTATTCATATGTAGAGATAGATAGATACATAAATACACACATCTAGACAAATACCATAGCTTAATCAATCCCTATTGATAGGTAGATGGTTTCTAATACTCTGCCATTATAAGCAACACACTTTTTTTTTTCTGCCTGACATTTGGCATAGC